ACACTGAAAAAGCAAGATGAAATGCTGTGAGAGATTCTATAAGTACAGTCCAGGTCCCCAGGAAGGCAGGATTTAACTCTCACAGCTGCTGGGATGTCACCCACAGACAGACCTCAGCTGTCATCTCCTTCCCTTTCACTCTCCTCCCCTCCCCTTCCTAGGTGCAGACCCCAAGAATTTGCCCTAAATAAACCTCTTTGGTGCTAACCTCCCTCTCTGAGACGGCTTCCTGGGAACCCAGCACTACAATCCCGTATGTGAAAGCTTTATGTACGCATGCAAACAGTGTACATAATCTGACAGCCTGGGGACCCGAGGCCAGAATGTACTCTTTGTCCTCACGTAGGACCGACTTCGAAGGCCCAGTGCCTCTGGTGTTTGTGTGTTTATCATCTGAGGAGCAGGTTTGCAGAGCGGGCCCCGTTTGTAGTGTTTTGGTTTGGCAGTTGCTTTGGAATACTGCCAGGACAGGGCCTCCGACTGGGGGGAGCTCTGGAAAGACATTCACCCAACCACTCTGATCCCCCAGATTACTCGTTCCAAGGCTTTTAAAAATAGAAGTGTGAAAACCATTTAATTGCCAAGACGCTGTAAAGTTCTGGCTTCTATGGCCACGGCCAAATTGGAAATGTAGCCTTGGAGATGCATGTGGAAAACAAGTCCGTGTTTTTCCCCCTTGACTCTGAGTCAGATGCGGCAGTCACACTCAGTGAATGTCATCTTGTTGCCAGGCCAGCAGTCATGTATAGGGCAGTGGTCACCGGACCATCGGCATGGCAAAGAGGTCAGCTGTGGGTACTATAATTACACTGGGCAGCAGGGGTTTCTGAAGCAGCCTCTCCTTCCACCTTTGAGCCCAGTGAACGAGGTTAGAGATGGGAGTGGCGGAGCCCAGCCTTGGGCACTCAGGCTAGCCAGGCAATCAGGGCTCCAACATTTCTGCTGTCTTATCTTCAAAAAGCAAACATCTGAACCGTCTATTTCCACAGGTCCAAGCAAGTGCTTTTGTAAAGCATTTTAAGAGCCTGGGATAAAGAAGGATAACATATCAAGAATTTTCTTAAATGCAGCAAATTGAAATGTGTGATATTTTGCAGAATCAGGCTTGATGTTTACTTTGGAGGAAATTATGACGGCAGCGTAGGCTGAGCACGTGATGATATAAACAAGAGTCACTGTAGAGAAGAAGGAACAGGCTTTTCCAAAGGTACAAAAAGCTTTCATTTCCGTCTAGTAACTGATAAGCTAATGATAAACCATTTTTGTGTCCCCATTAAAGATCCTGAAGGAATTTTCCAGCCTGAAACATATCTCACCTAAATTTCTACATGCGCTGGAAACAATTAACTGTTTCGTTTCAAAGATATAATTCACACTACACTTTACTAATCTGGTGAGGCTTCCTCCACTTATGTGAGGTCGTGGTTGGTGAAATGCCGCATTGATTATGTAAAATATGAAAATATTGATGATTTGGAAACATGGAAATGCTATTATACTGAAGGAGGGTTGACTCAGTTTTGTTGATGGAGTGCAATGCCAACACTATCTGGTGTCCACTTCTCAACAGGTGCTGCCACAGTGACCGCAGTGAACGGCTAGGCCACCAGCGGTGGGGAAGGGTAGCTAGGAAGAACTGCCGGGACGGGAAGCAGAGCCCACTGAACCTAACAGGTGTAACTGTGTCTGATAAATTTCCACGCCATCAGCCTCCAGCAAAACAGGTGCCGTTTTCTGTGAGAAAGAAAGGAAGCAACAAGAAGGGTGTTTTGGGGCTGGGCACCATGGCTTATGTCTGTAATCCAAGCACTTTGGGAGGTCGTGACGAGTGGATCACTTGAGGTCAGTTTGAGACCAGCCTGGCCAACATGGTGAAATCCCGTCTCTACTAAAAATACAAAAATTAGCCAGGTGTGGTGGTACGTGCCTGTAATCCCAGGTTACTCGGGAGGCTGAGGCAGGAGAATCGCTTGGACCTGGGAGGTGGAGGTTGCAGTGAGCTGAGATTGTGCCATTGTACTCCAGCCTGGGCAACAGAGCAAGATTGTTTCAAAAAAAAAAAAAAAAAAAAAAGTGTGTTTGTGATGAAGGTGCCTGGGAGCAGAGGTGAGGAGCAGAAAGAAAACAGTGTGGGGCCTGTTCCCCAGCCTGGCCTCAGGAGCTAAGTCAGTCCCCAGTAGAGAACTGCCCAGTGGCCGTTTTTCACAAAGGTCTTGGTGAAGCGCAGAGCACAAGTCAAGGCTCTAGGCCTCAGTGAGAGGGCAGGACACGGACTGCAGAGTGGCCCTCAAAGACACACATGGTATAGTGTGGGCGCAGGAGCACTGAAGCAGCTACGGCACCATTTAGCTACTTGAGAGGTTTGCTTTGAAGGGACACAGGCTTCAAAGAAGCCAAGGCAGGGAGGGGACAGCACCCCCCCACACACACACACACGTGTCACCGGAGGCTCCAGTGGGAGGCCATGAAAGGACAGGGACTGGCCCCCGCAAGACCACATCTGGAGGTTTCCAGAAGGACCTGGATGCATTTCTGGGGAGCCTCTGTGGTCCTGGTTATGCGGAGTGAAGGGGGTGGAGGAGGGAATGAGCGCTCATGGAGCTCGGTGGCTATGAATTTCACTGCATTGTCCTGGCTTTGGTGGGAGGGTGAGACTGGGAGAAACACAGCAGATGTGAATCTCATCCATCATCCTGAAAAGCAGACTTCAGATTTTACAGCTAAAGTCCCCAGAAAGACCTCCTGCTCATTCCAGGCACTTTCCGGGAATAGGGGCCGGGCAAGAGAGGAGTTTGTGGTTCACATTGTTAGCAAAGGCAAGGCAGCCATGAGCGCGTCTCACTCCCAGTTTAAACTCTTCCTTCAGAGTAGTTTTGGGGATATTGTTATTCTGCGCAAGTAACTCTGGGCTAAATGGCAATCAAGGTGGGATTTAGTGTTCCTCCGAAGCCCGCTCTGCATCTGGAGGCATAAGCAGAGAGGTTTGCTTTGAAGCAGATGACACAGCTGCACTGTCTCCCTTGTTTCCCTCGGCTTCTACCCCCAGGAAAAATGTGGGCCAGTACTCGTGGTCTTAGGGTGTTAAGAGAGAGCCAGAAGGATCACCGCCAAAATGGGTGAGATTAAACAGTGATCCTCCAGCTCCTTCTGATTTTACTAGCAGGAGAATCGATGGGCTTGGCACAGAGACCTGGCACTGGAGAGCCGGAGGGTAGCACTAGCTTGAATGCTGCCAAGCAGCATTTTATTGTAAAAAAAAAAAATTTTTTTAATTTGCAGCTGACTTTGAAATACAGGAAATAATTCTTTTTCAGAAAGATTCATCTTCCCCACTTTGTCCTCTTAAGCTTTTTGAATGAACCTGACTCCTGCAAGTAGGTACCAGCCAGATGAGCAGGACAAGAAAGTTGGGGGCAGAGGTGGGGGTGTTGGGGGGGCCATGAGAGGTTAGCTTCTTTCCAGGAATGTTCACCCCAAGGACTGGATATGCCTAGACCAGGTCTGTACAAGATTCCCCTACTGATCAGCATCCTTCACGAGGTTCTCCATAAACCCTGTTTATGACTCTAGAGCTGTAGCCACTGAATAATTGTTGGAACAAAGATCAGAATTTTTGGTTTAAAAAAGGCAGGTAAGGTCAGGGTAGAGACACACTGGGTTAGAGAGCCCTGGAGGATGGGATGCTGCTGGTTTCTATTGTAAACATGGAGTTCAAAAAAGTATCCATAAATGCAGATTGAGAGTCTCTAAGTCCTTCCCATTGACAATGACTATTTGCAAGGGCAAGCCAAGTGGACCCACTCACGGGGACCCCTCTCCCCCAGCAGCGCCTTCATGCTGGGCAGGTCTCAGCAGCGCTTTGTTGGTGTCCTAGGTCCCACCGTCCTTGTCTGCAGCCCTCTCAGCTCTGTCTCACTGCTGCTTATCAAATTGTCACCCCACACAAGCTCACGATCTGTAGTTCTGGCAATCATTTCTGTGCATGGATGTGGAGGTGGTAGTGGGTGTATGGACTGAATTGAGCCCCCCTCAAATTCACATGTTGAGATCTCAACCCTAGTAATGCACAGTGTGACTGCATTTGGAGAAGGCCAGGCGCGGTGGCTCACACCTGTAATCCCACACTTTGGGAGGCTGAGGTGGGCAGACTACTTGAGGTCAGGAGTTCAAAACCAGCCTGGTCAACATGGTGGAAACCTGTCTCTACTAAAAATACAAAAAAATTAGCCAGGCTTGGTGGCACACGCCTATAATCCTGGCTACTCAGGAGACTGAGCCAGGAGAATCCCTTGAGCCCAGGAGGCTGCAGTGAGCTAAGATCGCGCCACTGCACTCCAGCCTGGGCGATCAAGTGAGAAGAGATAGAGTCTGTAAAGAGGAGATTAAGGTCAAATGAGGCCATATGGTGATCTCTCACCCAATATGACTGAGACGAGATCAGGCACAGAAAGAAGACCCTGTGAGGACACAGGGAGAAGAGGGTCTTCATAAACCAAGGAGACAGGCTGCAGAAGAAATCAGCCCTGCTGACACCTTGATCTCAGACTTCCGGTCTCCAGAATTGTGAGAATACAGATTTCTGTGGTTGAAGCCCCGCACGCTGTGGGACTTTGTGACGGCGGTCCTAGCAGGCTAAAGCGGTGGACACGGTTGCTAGAATCCCTGAGAAGGCCAGCGCTGAGGACACATGGAAAGCGGGGGGTCTGTAGAAAGAAGAGTAATTGGGGAAGGCAGGGGTGAGGCGGTACCAAACAAAGCCCTGGGAGCAGAGCTGGGTCTGGGAAGGAGACCAACCAGGAAGGCCAAGCAGGGATTGCAGGGAGATAAAGAAGCCTATCAGGGAGGGCAGGGCGAACAGAGGGCAGTAACCCCTGCCCCAAACCCCCTGATATATGGTCCCTCCATTCCAGAGGGGGTCAAATCTATAACTGCTAGGAACAGGAAGGAACAGCCAAAAGTACACAAGACCCATTTCGTAAGACATGCAACACAAGCCGCAGTTCTGTTTGTTCTCTGACAATGTAAACATCATACATTTTTATTAATAGAGAAAATAAAAAGCAAAGAATCCACATGAAGCTTTCTAGGGAACTCCCATCACTGCCATGTGCAAGAAATCTGGGCATCACCCTCGTTTCAGCTCTGTTGGCCAGGGAGCACGAGGTCCCTCCAGGTCGGCGCTGGGATGCTCGTGACCCAGGCACTTCTGCCTACATGAGCGCCTTTCTCCATCAATACAATATTTAAAGTTATATTTTATGGTTGTTGGATAAAGATAAATATGTTGATACTGTCTACTAAAACATTTTCTTCAGCCTAAAGGTTAATGTCTTCCTTCTGATGTTAAAGACACAGAACAACTTCAGAGGGGGCCCAGGGCACTGCGTGCCTGGCACTGTGCCGACTGGCCGGCCCCACAGGGGACGCGCCCTGGTCACGGTGTGAGGGGCCCTGGAGCCCAGAGGGCACACAGGTCGGGAGGGGAGGGGTGGCCTGGGCCCTCAGCTAGCTGAGAGTGGATTCCAGCTCTTGGAAGAAAATGAACCAGACTTGGTTCTTAGTAGACGGGGCGGGGGGCAGGGCACATGGGGACGAGGCCGAGATCCAGGCACTGGTGTCGCCCGGTCCCCAGAGTAAGCAAGGACTGGAGGGAGAACCCGGCGGGGCCTGTAGCCAAGGGTCCCCCACATCGCCGCTCCCGACCTTCCGCTTGGGGTCCTTGGCTCTCCCTTGATGTGGGGCACGGCGGACCCAGAGCCTGGGGTCAAGCTGCCGTGGGGGGCGCGGCACGCTCCCGGAAAAAGGCAGGGGCCGGGGCGCAGGGCCGGGCAGTGCCGGCTCTTTTCTGATGGATCATCTGCCTCTCGGTTTGCAGCCCCCGGCCTGAGAACCCAGAGAGCCCCAGATGGCCCCTCTGCCCGGTCACAGCCGCTTCCGGCAGCAGGGGGCGCCCCCGCGCTGGAGGTGAGAGGCCGAGGGCCCGGGCGCGGGACCACAAAGGCAGCTGGGCCCAGAAAGAGCCCCGGGAAGAAGTCCAGTTGGAAAAATAAATCAAATGTTAAAAATAATGCACCGCCCCGTCGCCTGCACCCCACCTCTAAAAAGCCCTTTCCCGTCTGGGGCTCTCCCTCCCTGGGCTGTGCCAAGACACCAGCTCCCCCCACCCCGTCCAGGAACACACACGTGTCGACGGGCAGGAAGCCTTGGGGCGAAGGGCGGAGCTGCCCTCCCCGCTGAAGGTTAGGAGTCCGGACAGCCCCCCGGGCCACTTGACTTGGTCTAAAAATAAACACGGGAAAGGGAAGCAGAGACCCACCCTCCAGAGAGAGCCTGGTGGGGCTGCCTCTGAAGACTGCGCGAGGCTGCTCCCGCCCCCACCTTACGACAGGAGCCCACTCCGTGTTCTTATTTGTAGTGAAAACAAACGTGGCCCTTTCAGTAGCTGAGGACAAACACGAGACGAGCACAGCGAGGGACAGACGTTGAGAAACAAAGGGAGGTGTGTAGGAACTGCAGGGCAAAGGCAGGCAGAACGAGTATTGCAGCAGCCCTTCCTGCGTGCTGGGAAGAGCTCTTGGCTAAGCACTGAGATTGCAGCATTTGTTTTGATAGCCAGGCAAGGAGTCACAAAGTCAGGCAGGATCATGGAAAATGGGGTGACAGAGGGAGAAGTCCAGCACGCGGGCTCTCCTCTAAGGCCTTAACCTAGTCCTTATCTCTCTCCAACCTCTTTACAATTTTCATCCGTGAAAACTGAAGCCCAGATAAGTTAAGTAACTTGCTTAGGGTCACACAGCAAGTTGGCAAAAACAAACATACACAAAAAAAGAAATCAGGGCCGGGCACAATGGCTCACGCCTGTAATCCCAACACTTTGGGAGGCCAAAGCAGGAATATCACCTGAGGTCAGGAATTCGAGACCAGTCTGACCAACATGGTGAAACCCTGTCTCTACTAAAAATACAAAAATCAGTCAGGTGTGGTGGTGCATGCCTGTGATCCCAGCTACTTAGGAGGCTGAGGCAGGAGAACCGCTTGAACCTGGGAGACGGAGGTTGCAGTGAGCATAGATGGTGCCACTGCACTCCAGCCTGGGCAACAGAGTTGAGACTGTCTCAAAAAATAAAAAATGACAGATAAAAATAAATCAGGAATGCAAGACCCAAATAACCGGGCTCCCAGGCCCCTGTTCGTGGTCGATTTGCCCTTGGAGCCATTCGATCAACCAGTAATTACGGAGAGCCTGCTACGTGTTAGGCCTTACCCTGAGCCTGGTTTCTCAGGTATCTTCTACCAAAATCCAATCCATACACCACAGCTCAGCAGAGCTCCTCTATGGTTCTTCTCTAGACCTGATCCCTCTCTGAACTGCAAGGCCGTGCCTTTAATGGGCTTTTGGCATTCGGTCTCCAGATCTCCCTTCTCATCTGAAGGGCCCTTAGGAGAACAGAGAGTAAAACCAGCCTGTTTCCAAACTGGCCCGTCTCAGGGACTGGGGACCTTTGCCCCCGGTGACAGACACAGACGCGACGCACTGCAGAACAGCAGAGTGAAGTGACTCCTGCAGATGGTTTGATGGGTCTCTGGATCATCCCTGCTTATAACATTTTCCTTTGCTAGGTGCTTTCAACCTATCACGTAATCTTCTAACAACCCTCTTGGTTGGAACAGGTGTTAGCCCCATTTCACAATTAAGAAACTGAGGCTTAAGAGGATTAAAGAGTGAGAGAGGACAGACAGCTCTTCCTTACAGAAGTTATCCCAACTAGTAAATGGGAGCGTTCCCCCTCCAGGAGTAGGCACTTAATTTCCTTGTCCTGGAGTTGGATCTCGCTTAGTGATTGGCTTCTAATGAATAAAACATGGCAACGGAAAATAGTAACTCCACAGTGGACAGAGCTGGCAGTCACCACCTGGACCACGAGATCAAGGTAAACATCACCAGCAGTAAGTCCCGTTGGTACCATGTACCCCTTGAATAATGTGATGAGGACGACATTTCACCTCTGTGTGGCACTCTTCCCCCCAGAGCATATCCCCAGTCTCAGACACACCCAAATTGAAGGACACTCTACAAAATCCCTCCCTGTACTCTTCAAACTGTCAGAAGTCAGGCTGGGCGCCATGGCTCACACCTGTAATCCCAGCATTTTGGAGCCTGAGATGGGCAGGTCACCTGAGGCCAGAAGTTCCCAACCATCCTAGCCAACAGGGTGAAACCCTGTCTTTACTAAAATTACAAGAAATTAGCCAGGTGTGGTGGTCGGCGCCTATAATCCCAGCTACTTGGGAGGCTGTGGCAGGAGAATCATTTGAACCTGGGAGGTGGGGGTTGCAGTAAGCCGAGATATCGCTACTGCACTTCAGCATGGCGACAGAGCGAGACTCAATCTCAACAAATAAATGTCAGAAGTCAGGAGAAAACGAGGAAAGATTGAGAAATGGTCACAGACTGGACACATCCTAAATTGCAACCTGGCATCCTGCACTGGATCCTGGCACTGGGAAAGGACATGAGTGGAAAGAATGGTGAAATCTAAAAAAAAAGTCTGTAGGTTAGTTAACAGCAATATACCAATATAAATTTGCCAATGTAAATTTCTTAGTTTTAATGAATGAATTATACTCACCTTCAAAGGAGAACTTGCCGCCTCGAGACCCCAGGGTTGGCAGGAAGGGCACAGAGCTCTCTGGGACAGCACCCCTTTTTCCAGGAGTCAACCAGCCATGTTTTTTTCTGAGAAGTCCTACAGTCTCTCTGGGCAAAGTGTAGTGTTACAGACTAGAGAGGAGGTGGCAAGAGTCTGACGCTGCAAGATTCCCCCGTCTTACCTTCTACAGGCTTTTTAGCTTCTAACGAAAACCATTTTAAATTTCGAAAAATGAATCTAATTTATTTAGTTAGTATAAATCATCTAATGTATTTAGTTAGTCCACATAATGAAATCCTTATTCAACGACTGAGGAAACTTTATGGCCCCAATCCATACCCACCTCTGCCACAAGAAGTGTGGTTTCTATCGATCAAGCAGAAGAAAGGATATCAGAAAAAAAAAAAAAAAAGAAGTGTGGTTTCTGCTTCTCAGTAGCAATGAGGTCTCAGCCAGCATTGCATCGGAGCTTAGGTTCCTAACTTGGGTTTGGGAAGGTTAGAACGCGAGGAGACAGGGGAGTCACAGGCAAGGGGTGGAGAGGGGGCAGTCTGAAGCCAATGAGCCTTCCTCCTGATTGCTACGGAGAGAAACATGGAGGAGCCTGGAAAGGCGGGACTTCTGGCTCCGGGATAGGTGGGATCAGGTGTCAAACAATCCCTGTGGCTCTGATTGGATCGTTTGCCCATTCCTAAACCAATCGCTGTAGCCGTGGGGATGAGGCCCGGCGTCGGTTAGATGTGGAGCGGGCATTCTGGGACTTAGGAGCAGGATCAGAACACATGAACCGTAAAGACAGAGGGGGGTCCTGGAGGGGCTGCTGCCAGAAGTCCGCTGGATGGATATGAGGCAGGCACAAAGCAACCACAGGAGACACACCGCCAAGATGAACCTGTCTCATTGGGTTCAAATACCTGCTCTTTCCTGGACCCATGCACTCACTAACGTTAGGGCAATCAGTATCCTGCCAATTCAAAGGGACTCCTATCTTGGTGAGAGCCTCCAAATGGGTTGAGAATTCAGTACAACTTAGCGAGTATAAGAATCCGTGTAGTACAGTGGAGGCATCCCTGCTGTAAACCTCCCACCACATGGGGCCCATGGTCCACCAGACCAATGTTTGTGGCTGTAAAACCGTTGCTCCCATTGTTAGCATGACTGGCTTTGTCACCACGGTCAGGTCCTCCCTGATTTGGGCCCTCTCTGAGTTAACTGCTCCCTCCTTAGGTCCCAGAGTCCCGTGTCCTCACCCTGGGGAGCATGTGCTATGATGCCTTAAAATTTCTTACCACCGTCTTGGCCTCTCCTGCTTGTCTGAGTTGTGGCTGTCTTCAGATCTCCCTCAGCACCCAGCACCCCACATGTTTTAGGGATGAGGGAGAAGTAGTAGGGGGTGCCATAGCTTAGTTTCAGCTTCTCCTGGCAGGGAATTGGAGCTTGAGACCGAAATGTATTTTGTTACTTAATTTAATTTATTTATTTAGGGATGGAGTCTCCTTCTGTCACTCAGGCTGGAGTGCAGTGTCATGATCTTGGCTCACTGCAAGCTCCGCCTCCGAGGCTCACGTGATTCTCCTGCCTCAGGCTCCTGAGTAGCCAGGATTACAGGCGCCCACCACCACGCCCAGCTACAATTTTTTTTTTTTTTTTTTTTTTTTTTTTTTTTTTTGTATTTTCTATTGGAGCTGGGGTTTTGCCACGTTGGCCAGGCTGTTCTCAAACTCCTGACCTCAAGTAATCCACCTGCCTCGGCCTCCAAGTGCTGGGATTACAGGTGTGAGCAACCGAGCCCAGCCTATTTTGTCACTTTAACTTACTACGAAAGTTTCCGAATGCACATGAAAGTAGGTGAGAATAAAAAACTTTCACGTATCTCCATCTAGTTTCAATAATTATCAACACTTTGACATTCTTATTTTGTCTACTATGTACTTTGGCTAGAATATTTTAAAAATAAATCCCAGTATGACATGATTTACCTATAAACACTTCAGAATATGAGTTTGAGATGTAGAATCACTGATTTTGGGGTTAAATGAACCTCAGAAGTCCTCCTGTGTTCAAATGGGCCTGGGTTTGGAAGCTCTGCAGTAGGTGCTCGGCTCTGGAAGACCCCGGCCCCAGGAGGAGGGGGTGTACGGCGGGTGCTGAAATCCGCTCTCTGCCTAGGTCCTGGGAAAATCCCCGCTGGAGTGATTGGCGTAGCTCTTCCTGGGCCCATCACAACTCGTCCAAATGAGCTCTTGCTTCCTCTTCTCCATCTCCGGCGTCATGAGAGCCATTTCATCTCCACACCACACCCTTGTGATTTAGGGAGCATCATCTCCATCAAAACAATTTCCCCTGCCCCTTATTATTTACATTTTACAAGCAAAGCAGTTTATGCTCGGAGAGGCTGAGGGACTTGCCCAGGTGGTGGAGGGAGCAGCGGAGTTCCCACCCAGCTCTGCTTGCCTGGCGGCACCCACAGCCGACCCTCAGCGTCCACTTCTGAGTTGATCCTGGGAAAGAGAATGGTCCATAAACGACTTCCTGCCCAATGGTAAACAGTGAAAAGCAGGCTCCTGTGTTTCTCGTGGTTGGTGGTAAACGTTGCTTTTGAAAAGTAGCTTTTGGGGAGGTTTAAGCTTCGTCTGCGAGAGAGATTGTAGGAAGTGTGTTCAATGAGTGGGGAAGTGTTACTTAAAGGCTTCCCAGCTCTGAACACGCACTGCAGGGGCCGCCCTCCCCCGCAGCACACTGCGAGGGCCTGTCCTCCAGCGCTGCCCACGCCCGGCCGTGGGCCTCATTCCCCACTGGATCTCCCGTCTTTGATGTCGGATAAACCCAATTCATCTCTTTCATATCACTACAAAGGAGCCTCTAATTACTTTGTTTAGACAGCCTCTTCTCCAAATATTAAACATTTGGTCTTCCCAGGCCCCCCAAGCATTTAACATCATCAAGGTTGTTGCAAAATCCACTTTTCCCTCAACTGTTTGGCAGATTCCTCTCTCTCCATTCCCAGCCTCCCTGGGCAGAGCTGGACACGTCACCCCACATATTCTTTTCCCAAGCAGGCTGCTCTGGGGACACAGCCCTTCTCTTCTGGTGAGAGGGTCGGGGAGCAGTGGGGTGGCCCTTGCCCGTTTCCTTCAACCTCAGCCGGGCTGGGAAGCCCTGGAGAAGCCTCAGGGAGATCCAAGGACTCAAGAGTGACCTGTCATGCCTGACGCAGGCATGTGGGGCAGCTCTGCCTTTGGAGGTGGCAGGCCCAGCACCGAGGCCAGAATGTCTGCTGGCTGGTGGGGAAACGGACACTTCCTGGTTCCAGATCAAAAACTGCCTTGAGTAGCTGCATCTCTCCGGACACCAGCTGCTGGGTACCTGCTGCTACAGTAGCCGTTCCTCCTTCAAAAAAAAAAAAAAAAGCACGCTAATCCTGGAAGCTGTCCCCCTCCCGAACCTCCATGGCCTGCCACCACTTCCTTCGGTGGAGAAGTTGGCTCACATTTCTTCCTACTCAACAGCAGCTAGTGTTCACCCTTCCAATGCCTCCCTCTTGGTCCCATGGCCGTTCGCCACCTGATGTCGTGGGCACAGTGCTATGTCATGGGTCTGTGCTATGCTCCCTATCCTGGTCTCTCTCCATGGTGTGGCTGGTCCCCGGAAGGACTGTGGCTTGGGGCTGCTCCCCAGACGTCCCTCCTGTCTTCTCATGGGCCTTGTTGCTCTGGCTGAGCAGAAAACAGCCTCCCCGTTCCCCCTGCCCTGCACCAATGCAGGGGTCAAGGAAGGTTTCCAAAGGGACATTTGAGCAGAATCTTTTCCTTCTCTCCTTCCTCTCCGTCCCCCCCGCCCCGCCTTCCCATCTCTCTTCTTTCTTTCAACTTTTTATTATGAAAAACTTTATTTTCAAAAGTAGAGTGTATAATGAGCCCCCATGTTCCTATCTCAGCCATTGTCCATGCTGATTGACCAGAGCCAATCTTGCTTCCTCAAAACCCCCTAGCCCCACTCCCTGCCCTCCAACACTGGACAGTATTGCAGCCAATTCCAGACAGCGATTGTATCATTCTCTCTGTAAACACTGCAGTGTGTATCTCTAACAGACAAGGACTTTTAGAAAAACATAACCACAGTATCACATGTAAAAATATAAACAATAGTCCAGTCAGTGTTTGAATTTCCCAAATTGTTTCATAATTGCACTTCTGTAAGCGGCTTGTTTGGATCAGGATGCTGAGAAGACAGACTTGAAGTGACTGAAGGGTGGTTACACATTTTCGTGTGAGTGTGGGGTGGTGGTGGTGATGGGGAAGGGCACCCTCACCATCTTGGACACACAATTGGCCTATGGCAAACAGCAGGGGCTCCCAATTTTTATTAACCTCTTCTGAACTCATTTGCAGCAAAACATTGCTCTTTAATGGTTTCCTGGTCAAAAATGTCATTTCAGACTCAGGGTGTGTGTCACTTCTTCCAGGCAGCCTTCCCTGCATCCTGGCCCTCCAGGCAGCCCAGGCCAGGTGTTCTTGTTCTATACCTGAGAGTCCACTGTCTTTCCCAGGTGACACTGTAGTTCCCTATAGTAAGCCTTCCTCAAGCGACTTGATCTCAGCCAACACAGGGGCAGCATGTGCGGGACACAATCGGGTCTATGTGCTACTGAATAAGGAGGAGGTCAGCCCTCATCCGTTTCTGATTTGCTGCCCTGTTGGTTTGCTTTCTTTAGGTGGGTTAGGAAGTGCCTCCTATGTGCCATGCATCTCTGAATTCCTCAGTGAATTCTCACAGCCATCATGTAAGGTGACATGACCATCAATTATCCCCATTTCACAGAAGAGAAACTGAAGCTCAGATTGGGTAAATTAATTGACCAAACCTCACAGCTGCTATATCGCAGGTCACTCCTACCTCCTGTTGCCCTACCCACCACCAGGGAAGAGCCATTTGGGCTGCTGGTCCTGGATGGAACATTCTAGAAAATGCCCACCGCAGAACAAGATGGCTCTTGCTTCTCAGTTGCAGGAAGTGATTCCTTTCACTATTTCTACTCAAGTCTCAGGGCCACCACCCCCTCCCCATCCAACCTTTCTTCCCCAGCCCCATGGAGCTGAATTCTGTCCTGCTTGCATCCTCAGCCTCTGGTGGCCAAGCCAGCCTAGAGCAGGTACTTCAAAGCTCCCTGTTTAATTGTGCCTTCCCTGCACATCATTAGGCAGAGTACAGCAAACAAATTAAATGCACATTTTCTTCTGAGACCTGTGCAGGACGGCACCAGCACCATCCTTGGTGGTGTTTGTGCTGATGGGCCGGTTGCCGAGGTTTGGACGGGGCAGGAAACACTCCGGTGCTGGAACATGCTTACCTGTTTCTTCCTCCTCCACCCCTGGACAGAAGGTCGGTGGTTCTTGGAGAAGAATGGTTCCTTTGTGTTTTCTTTCCTTTCTTCCTGTGCCTAATTAGGAATTATGCTTGGGAATCAAGCTAATTAATCTCTGCCAGTTCAGGGTGAGATCAAGCTGCTCACACTATCAGTGTTGATCAATAACTCACTGCTGAAAGAATCTGGAAAACAACCCTGCTCCTTTCAGCACAGGCTTTAATGAGGAAGAGGGAGGACAGCCCCGGGGGAAGGACTGGACTGAGTAGGCAGAGGATCCTCTGGTGAAGCTACGAGCCATTGCTTCCTGCATGTGAGGGGCCTCACAATGCCCAGGCCCAAGCCAGGGGTGGGAGCTTCGTTATTGTGCTGCTTTGTTGTGTAACCTAAGGTGTCCTGAACTGCAAGGTGGTCACTGGGATTACTCAGAAGATGGTGGAAAACATGGCCAATGGCCGGGTTGTATTTCAGGACAAAGTGACACCTCTGGCTTTCTGACCAGAGGCCAGACATAGGCTTGCTCCCAACACTGGGCTGCCACCTCAGCCCAGTGAGGACCAACTATCCAGGAGAAAAGATGCAATCTTGCAGGAAATAGAGCTGCAGAAGGCCCGAAAAATGAGAGACAGCATAAAATCCCCTAGGGCTGCCAGGGACAGGGAAGTAAGGGCCTCACCCTGGGAGTAGGAGAAAGGTGGTCTGGTTAGAGCTTCTAGAACATTTGTGTTGTCCTGGAGTCCTCATGGCCTGGGAAGTCATCATAGTCTATTTTCTGATGCTATGACAGAATATCTAAGACTGGGTAATTAAAAAGGAACAACAGACATTTAATTCTTACAATTCTGGAGGCTGGAAAGTGCAAGATGGAGGGGCTGGCATCTGTTGAGGGCCTTTGTGCTGTGTCTTCCATGGTGGAAAGTGGCAGGGCAAACCAGCTTGGGAGCAGAGCCCTCATGACCTCTTGTGGGAAGTCAAAAAGTTCCCTTTTAAAGTTTCTTTCTTGTTAAATCATAAGTGTGCTAGTAACTCTTTGTTAAGCTGTATGCTACGTAGCTGTTAGCCATGCTGTGCTTACAGGCATGTAGTACATTCTATGTACTTCAACCAAGATATCTGTGCTAGACGTGCTCACAGGCATGTCCCAGCTTTCCATTGCTTTTACCTGCTTAGAAAAGTTTTAAGTTGTTACCCAATTGGGTTTTAGTTGAGATTCTGAGGTCTGGCTCCAGCCAATGGAGAGCAGACACAGCAGTAAGGACAACCCCAAATGCGTAAGGAATAAATTTGTGTGTATTTCCTTTGTTCTTTGTACTCTCGTGGTAAGATGGCTAGTGAGAGTACCCTTCCTGCAGTCCAGGAAGTAAAAATTGTGTCGCTGAAAGATCCTTTGTCTCAGTGCTGATTTTTCTTTGCCGCACTGAGCATCTACTTCCAACACCTCTAGGCCCCAGCCCTCAACACTGTTGCATGAGGGATTATGTTTCCAACATATGCTTTTCTGGGGACACATTGAAACTGGCAGAAGGTTCAATCTTCAAAGAGACAGAGATGTCCCTTGCCTCTAGAGGGAAAGATGCAGTTGTTTTTTTTCCAGGGAGACTATCAAGAAACCAGAGAACCAAAAACAGTGGTAACTGAAAAAGAACTTTAGGACTGAGGGAAACTAGGATGGGGTTTTTTTTTTTTTTTTTTCAGAGTCTTGCTCTGTCACCAGGATGGAGTGCAGTGGCGCAATCTCGGCTCACTGTAACCTCTGCCTCCTGGGTTCAAGTGATTCTTCCTCCTCAGCCTCCCGAGTAGCTGGGATCACAGGCGCGTGTCACCAAGCCCGGCTAATTTTTTTTCTTGTATTTTTAGTAGAGATAGGATTTCACCATGTTGGCCAGGATAGTCTCGATCTTTTGACCTCGTGATCCGCCTGCCTCAGCCTCCCAAAGTGTTGGGATTACAGGAGTGAGCCACTGCGCCCGGCCAGGATGGTTTTTAAGACTTTTGGAAGTCCCAGCCTATGTCGTATCAAATAGATTTAAAATATTTTTTTTTTTTTTTGAGATGGAGTTTCACTCTGTGGACCAGGCTGAAGTGCAGTGCTGTGATCTCGGCTCACTGCAAACTCCGCCTCTCGAGTTCAAGTGATTCTTATGCCTCAGCTTTACAAGTAGCTGAGACTACAGATGCACACTAATAAACTCAGCTAATTTTTATATTTTTTAGTAGAGACAGGGTTTCACCATGTTGGCCAGGCTGGTCTCCAACTCCTGACCTCGTGATCCACCTGCCTCGGCCTCCCAAAGTGCTGGGATTACAGGTGTAAGCCACCATGCCTAGCC